CAATGTAGTAGGATACAAAATCAACTTACAAAATCAGTGGCCTTTCTATACACCAACAATGACCAAATTGTGAAAGAATATAAGAAAATAATTTCATTTACAATAGCCTCAAAAAAAAAATCAAATACCTAGAAGTAAACTCAACAAAGGACATAAATGACCTCTACAAGGAGAACTACAAACCATTGAAGAAAGAGATCAAGGAAGACTACAGAAGATGGAAAGATCTCCCATGCTCATAGATTTGCAGAATCAACATAGTAAAAATGGCTATACTACTAAAAGCAATCTACATGTTCAATGCAATTCCCTTCAAAATTCCTATGGGATTCATCACAGAGATTGAAAAATCTACTCTAAAGTTTATTTGCAAACACAAAGACCAGGAATATCCAAGGCAATACTCAGCAAAAAGAGTAATGCTGGTGATATCACAATACCCGACTTCAAATTATCTACACAGCCATAGCAATAATGACAGCATGGTACTGGCACAAAAACAGATATGAAGACCAGTGTAACAGAGTAGAGAACCCGGATAGGAATTCGCACAGCTAGGCTCACCTTATTTTTGACAAAGTCACCAAAAACATGTCATGGAGAAAAGACTGCATCTTCCACAAATGTTGATGGGAATAGTGGCTATCTGGCTGCAGAAAACTGAAACTAGATCCATGCCTCTCACCCTGTACTAGTACCAACTCAAAGTGGATTAAGGACCTTAATGTCAGACTCAAAACCTTCCAGTTAGTACACTAAAGAGCAGGGAGGTAACCTGCAAACAATATGTACAGGCAAGGACTTCCTTAGTAGAACTCCAGCAGCCCAGCAACTAAGAGAAAGGATTGACAAATGGAACTACATGAAATTAAAAAGCTTCTGCACAAGAAAAGAAATTGTTTCTAAATCAAAGAGACCACCCACAGAGTGGTAGAAACTATTTTCCAGCTGTGCATCAGGCAAAGGACAGATAACCAGAATGTACAGGGAGCTCAAAAAACTAAACTCCCCAAAAATCAATGAATGAACCAATGAAGAAGTGGGCAACTGAATTAAACAAATTTTTTTTTAAGGAAGAAATCCAAATGGCCAAAAAGCACATGAAAAAATGCTTACCACCCCTGGCCAGAAAGGAAATGCAAATCAAAATCACACTAAGATTCCACCTTCTCCCTGTTAGAATGGCTGTCATCAAGACCACCACCACCAACAAATGCTGGTGAGGATGTGGGAGAAAGGAACCCTCATACACTGCTGGTGGGAATGTAAGCTAGTACAACCACTTTGGAAAACAATATGGAAGCTTCTTAAAAACTTAACATAGATCTGTCATGTGATCCAGCAATTCCACTCTTAGGGAAATACCCGAAGAAATAAGATTCAAGTTATTACAAAGGCACCTGCACACCTATTTACAATAGCCAAGCTATGGTAACAACCAAGATGCCCAATAACTGACGGATGGATCACAAAAATGTGGAATTCACATAATGGAATTTTACTCAGCCACAAAGAAGAATGAAATTTTGTCATTCACAAGTACATGGATGGAAGTACAGAACATCATCTTAACTGAAGTTAGCCAGGCTCAGAAGGCCAAAATCACATGTCCTCCCTCATATGTGGATTGTAGACCCAAAACAAATACAGTCATATTATTGGACTTGGGTCACACACTAAGAGGAGAATGCATACAGGAGGAATAGAGAAAGGAAGGGAAACCTAAAACTTGAAAGTGGTTGATGTGCTCACTGTAGAGGAGCTAATAAAGTAATCTTGGAGAGACCTCTATGGGAAGGTGACTGGGAAGTAGTGAAAAGGTCTGGTAGAAATATGCCAACCTGGGTTTGCAATTCACAAGTGCATGGAAGCAGCACTAGGAATCTCTCTGTATAGTTGTCTTTATTTCAAACTAGCAAAAATGATATGTCTTTCTTATTATCTCTTATGTTTTCTCTTCAACATAATTGGAGAAGAAGAAAGCAGAACAGGTTACGCCTGGAAATGGGGGTGAGGGGGGTGGGGTAGTGTGTGGGAAAGAGGAGGTGGCACAAAGAATGTATACACATCTAAGTAAATGTACAAATGACAAAATAAAAGAAAAGAAAAAAAAGAAGTACATATGAAAAAAATTAATATAATAGTAAACACAATTTATAATAACAGTAATACCCTAAACTGTAAGAGCAAGAGCAAGTTAATATGGAGCTTCTGTGATTGCATTAGAATTTCTCACCTTTACTATCTCCAAACATATCTGTCTCAATCATTCAAGATGACTTGGGGAAACAGGTATGGTTTCAATTAGAAGGGAAAGGAAGGAAGAAAATCTTACTTTCTTAAATATTTTATTTAGAAAAAATGTTTAAGGGACATGGGAAATTATTATAGTATTACACCAAGGTATACTGAGCTGTATTTTCTTTTTTATTAACTTTGAATGCTCATATTACTTGTCTTCAAATTTGTGTAATGGGACTAAGCAGGAGCTTTTCTAACGCTACAAAAAAGGAACATTTTAATCTGCTGATAAGTGTTCTTGGCCCTAAAGTGATTATAAAAATAAACAGGGCACGACAAAACAGAAAACTGTTCATTCAAGTTTTAAGAAAATCTTATTGCATTTTGCCTAAATTTGCTCAATGATGTGTGATGTAAAGGTGTTAAATCTCAGATTGTTTATTATCAGAAAGGGTCTTACTCAGTAAAAAGTGACTCTAATAATGAAGATAATGAAAACGAACTGAGATTGGATCCAAGTCTCAGTTCATTTCCCTGCTCCTTGGAATGTCAGAGACAATGTTTTTCAGTTAGAGTTAGAGGGATGCCCACAACAATACTTTTAAGCTAATGCATCTGGAGAATAAATATCTGTTTTTTAATTCGGAAGCAGTTAAGAAGCAATATACCCTAGGTTATAAAATCAATTATCATTATTTGGGGGCAAGTAAATCAGGTAAATGTCTATTTTAGCATTATTTCAATGAAAATGTGAGATCATGAGGCCTCCGGCCAGCCATGATGGAAAAAAAGATGGAAGTAATCCATAGATCCCGTTGGAAAACTGTATACAGTGGCTAACAGCAAGGTGCTTTGGCTCAACCTCAGTTCAAATTGTGTGGGCTTGGAAATTTTGCAGATATTTCTAATTTTCAGTTTCACAGTAATGAAGTGACAACTCTCTCTAATGCAAACATTGTTTTGTCAAAATGGGAAAAATCTGTTTGGGGTAAATAGTTGTTAATTGCTAATTATAGTGTTCTACAAACTGCAAACATTTTATAAAAGCTTGCTACTATTAATATTTCCTACACTATATTTTTATTTTTTATACATATTTCAGCAGAAGGACTTCATCTATATAATTCAAAATATAAACTCCCAAAGGTAATATATAATTTGAATTTGTACTTGACTTAAATGCTGTAAAGTATGTTTATTACCTTCCCTTAATGGGTTTATTTTAGTCATAACAAGTAGAATTATTTTTTATTTTGTTTTGTTTTTTTTCTTGAGATGTGGAGTCACACTTGAGATCATCCATGCTTAGCCTCCCAAGTTTCAAGAATTACAGGCCTGAGCCACTATGCATGGCAGCAAATTATAAAAGTGGACCTTTGGACTGGAGAAGTGGTTCAAGTGGTAGAGCACCTGCTTTGCAAGTGCAAAGCCCTGAGTTCAAACCCCAGTGCCACTATAAATAAATAAATGAATAATAAAAATAACTTTTTACCACTTCTCACATATTCTATTAAATAAAATTAAGTTTATTCTTTGTTACACATGGAAAAGTCGCATTCTGCCTCATTCTTCATAGTAACAGAATATATACTGTATATTTTTAAATTTCATCTAATCACTTCCAGAACAACACAAAATTCTAACCTAGTATTGATCACTTAATCCATTTAATGGTTTGTCTTGTATGAGTAATTTAGCATGCATATATTTAAACAGAACTAGAGTGTGTGTAAGCCATGATGAAATTAGAAAACTTTGATCTTCTATAGAGGTGTAGCCATTTTTATTATTTCAGTTACTAAATTTATATAAAAAATTTCTGTCTTTATAACCACAAAATATTGCAAAATTTATTCTTATAAGGATTATTTTAAAATTTGGAAAGAAGCATAAATTATTTTATTTAACTTCATTCTGTAACTATGAAGAACTGATGGTAACTGAGTACAGCCTCGTTGTTGGAAAGTCCTGCTACACTAGGCCAAGTTTTTAAATTGCCTCTTTAGAAAAATTATCAATTTATACCTTGTTTGTTTAATCTTACTGAAGTCTGCCAATGTCTAACTTTCGTTGTTGAGTCCTTAACATAACTGCCAACTCCTCCAGCTGCAACTCTACTCCTGAAAAAATTTTGGCAGACGATCCAAAAAGAAATGTATCTTAGAATCTGCACTACACCACTTGGGACAGCAACAATGGGCTAGCTATAAAATAACTGGAGTACTGCCATTGACATTTCTTCCTTCATTTGTTCACTGGACATGGGCTTCAGAGAATCCCTTACAACTTTCAGCATAGCTAGCAAGAATTGCAACTCTCACCTTTGCAAGCTCTTGCAAAAACCATTCTGTCACCCTTCTCCCTTTCAGTGCTTATCTCTTACCTCCAATGTTACAATCCTCATCCTTCTTGCTTTTACCTTTATTTAATACATGGAAGTGAAAGATACATAGCTTTTTTTTTTTTTTTTGCATTTTGATTTTTATTTGAATGAGTTCTAGTTCCATAGGTAAAGAAGCCCCTACAACTATTACAGATTATAAAAGTGGACTATACTATTACAAAAATTCCTATATATATATTCATATATATATATATCTCATTATACAGTCTGATCAGATAAGTATTTTAATATAAGTGATATTCCATTGTTAAATTACATCCGCTTTAAAACTTTGACATTAATTTCAGGGAGGTATTTTAATAGCAATCTTTCCTATTTAATAACAGATCATTCTGTTTCCTTTATGGTTTCTTACCCAGGAGAATAATGATGCAGAGGAGAATAGCAATCAAGGCTCCGGTGCTGAGGCCGGCAGGGAGGAGCAGGGCCTCGGCGCTGCAGGACTGCATGTTGCCTTGACTGTCACAGGCGCACACTCGGATGGTCAGTGTGCCCGTGCTGCTCTGGATTGGGTAGTCATTGTCTGATATCACCACAGGCAAGAGATAGGTACTTATTTCATGTCTATTGAAGCCATTTTTTCTGGTTAAAATTCTGGCAGTGTTATCTAAAGTAAAATTTTAAAATTACAAATAGTTTAGAACAGTTAATCTGTCTCATATGAGTATCCATATTTTGACATATAAATAAACATTGGTTTATGTAAAATCTAAAATTGTTATAAGTTTTCCTATCCAGTATGAACACTGTAATTAAAATCACATAAGATACATTAGATAATTCAAAGACTATCATACTACAGATTGCTTGTTTATTAGATTTTTCAAATAATTACCCAATAAGTTTTCCAAATTGGTGAATTTGTTCAAATGAACCATTTGCAAAGTCTACATAGATGAGAAGAATGTTGGAAAAACATGTATGCAAAGGGAAAAATCATACTTTTATTTACTCATGTGTGAGTGTGTGCCTGTGCACACCACGAAATAACTTAATCCAATATCCAGGAAGAAAACATGATCGAGTACAGAGTACACTGGAAGCATTGTTAGATGTTTAAATTAATAAAGCATCAAGAATTCCAGTACATAACTAACAATGAACATGTTTAATGTTTCCAATCATTGATTTATGCCAATGAGAAGAATGTACAGCTCAAATTATACTTGTAGCAAAAGAATTGATGGAAGACTTGGGCTGACTTTGTAAAATGCCTAGTAAAGTTCCAGAAACAAGAATGGACTTATGATGGCTACCACCCAACTTCCTACTAAACTCCTACTGACTTTTTCCTTAACCCAACAACTAACCCAGTATTCTTAAATGGGAGTCATGATGCAAATAAACAAGCAGAGAAATTTCTTCTAGCCCAAGTAACCAATATTAAAAAACAAAATACTGACATGACAATTTCTATTTTGTTTACCTAATTAAATTATTCTTGTTTTTCTAAGTCCAAAGGTTTGTTTAAAATGTCAAAACAGGACAGAAAAAAAAAGTTACAATCTTTTGCTGGTATAGTAGTTAAATAAAAAAATCAGTTAAATTATAAGTGAAAAGCTAATTACATTATTTTACATCATGAGCTAGAGGAACATGAGTAAAATTTAAAACTTTTTTTTCAAGAAGTATACTTTTAAGATATTATCATGCATGTGGGTATTTTTAGAATCTTACTTTTTTTAACATTTTACAAATTTCAAAATCTTAATTTTGTAATAGTTTTGATAAATTGAGGAGCCAAATGAAGTTTTACTCTAAAGTAACCACTATATTTCAAATTATTTGATTAAGCATTTAGATTAGGTCATCATACCATCTTTGAACTATCATAGATTCAATAAATTGATCTTAAAAAGGAACAATATCATAGACTTCAAGATATTTTAAGATGAGCATGTAGATAAAAAAGGAAATTTTCTCAAGCGTTAACATTACATTTATGTCTATGTCATTATAATTCCTTTAAAACTTCATGCAATAACAGAAAGTATTTTATATCTTTAATTGTATGCTATCTTGAGATATTCAGGTTTATATAAATATGGGTTTATTCCTGGTTTGAGCAATTTGTGTAGAATCAAGCATTCTTCCTACTATAACAAAATAGTAATATTTGTCAAAAATGAATTAAGGTTTGTCTTGAGTGGTTTCCTCTAGTAACTTTGAAATGCTGCACAGAGACAACAGTATTTCAGGTCTACATCACTTTTTCATATCAAGTGTTCAGTTTCACAGGAACAGAAAGTAAATTAAAATGCAGCTAGAAACAGGTATTGTCAATTCTGTACTCTTGGTTCAATATTACAAACTCTGTACTAACAGACAGCTTCTATCTAAATTTTATGTTTAAGTTGCCAGGTTCAGCAAACCAAAATGTTAGAGGTCATTTATCTCAAATTCAGATTTAATTAGGCATTCTTTATGTTGACTACCATGTTTATGTTAATTTTCCCAACACCAATAAGTTTAGTTATCTACTTTCTATGGAAAACCTGGATATTTCAGAAGTTCAGGTTTAGTAAAAAAAGATATCATCAATGGGTACCTATTTTTGATTGATTTAAGCAAAATTTCTACTAGATAAAAATCTCTAAATAATAGTTGCCAGTGTAAATGATGCCCTGTCTTACACTAATTATTGTCTGGCACTTTGAAACTTACCTAAAGGTGACATAGTAGCCTGGCTCTGCCAACAAGTCATACATTGTGAAGAAAGTATTGCATATAAGCCAACGTGGTTACTAGGTTTATTTAAAAGCACATGCATCTCCAGTCATTCTAAAACAAACAAACCTTTTAACAAGCATAAGCTTAGTTTAATGTAAAATGTTTAACTATAGAAGAGTTCTAATAACATACTTTTGATTACACTAGAATGATTCCAATGATGCATATTTCTCAAAGAACACCAATATTTCATATATTTTCCTTTAAAATATGTTCCTGCCTTTATGAGGACATAAAAAACAATTTCATTGACATAAAATTTATATATTATGAGGGACCAAAACATACCTTGCTTTTGCAAAAATGGCTTTGCACTGAATTATCTCAGTGACTAGCGTGCTTCTTTCTCGTTCTCTTTGCTGTTCTTTTATTGTCTACTTGGTTTAGTGAATCTGCTGCCATTAAATCCCACTGAGGTTTGCATAAGAGTTTCACTTAATTATTCATTTATTAACGTGTTTTACATTTTTGTTATATAAACTGAAATTGTTTCTAATTATTTCAAAATCCAATCTTTTCCTAAGCACCCATTGAGTCTTCTAATACATTTTATTATTTCAAATTCAAGACAGCAAGCATTGTACAAGATATTAAACAACATGTTAATAAACATCTGTTGGGAACAAAATTTTGTTCCTCAGATCAATAAATTGATATATTGCATATATTGCAATGGTTAATTTGGGGGAAACTTCCTGTTAAATGTCATTTTGAACCACAATAAATAAGTTCTAAAAATTACCTTCATTATCCTGTACTGTGAAGTTCGATTGACAGCAGCTAAGCTGAAGAAAAATTTCTGCCCTCCTAAAGGGTCATCTTTGTCTATTGCACTTATCGTCTGGATCAGCTGCAGGAAAGAGAACATTACACAATCACTAGACATCCAACAGTATAATAACATACACAATAGGTACTTTTCTGACACTTTATTTTTTTTTAGAATTTTTTAAAAAAGACAATTGATTTTGTTCCTTGTGCATGTATCTTTCAGTTAATTCATCTTATTAACGAATACTTTTGATTCTTTCTCCTCTCTCTCTGCTGAATGTCGTCTTTTTATCCAAAATGATAAATGATAATATTACATCCACTGAGGACTTTATAAACTTAAATATAACATTTGATGTAAGTAGGTTATTTCATATAAATTTAAACACTGATATGGAAAAGTTAATCTAATGTGGGAAAACTTTAGGAAATTATTGTGAATATAGCTTTGCCCCTCTCCAAAAGTAAAGTGAAAAGTATTAAGATAATTTATAAATAATATTATTATATATTACTTTAAAAAGATACTTTAAGTATTATCTACTTTATTTGCACTTTTAATACAATTTTATGTATTTTGAAGTCCAACATATGCATCAAATGAGGGAATGGTTATTTTATAAGTTTCAATTCTCGTTTTTAGGTAATAGATAACATAAGAAGCTATCTGGTAACAATGTAGACAATTTAATATTTTATTCATAATCACATCACTGGACATTTTATATGATAGGTATTATACAAATATGTATTATCTATGCAATAATATATATGTATTTGGGATATATATTATTTATTCTTTAGCTTATCTAAAAATAAAAATAAGTTTTTCTTTTTAAAAATGTGCTAATTTTTACATGGGTTTCATTCAGTTGACACATGCTGACTGCTGCCTGTATAATATTCAGACTTGCTTAGCTCATTAAGAATTAACTCAGCTCATCACCGTATGCATATTAGGTGGAAACATTTCTTGCTGAGGTATTGTTGGTCTAACGAGGAGCTTCAAGATTAGACATTATGTAAAATCATTAGAAAAAATGGAGTAATAATTGTAACCACTGTGTATAAAATTACTTTTCTTTCAAAGTGTGTTTTAACAATAAAAATGATAAATTTGAGATGTTAGCCAGTTTATTAAATTTCTAATCATTTATTTTAGTTATACAAGAAATTTAAACCATACAAGATACTTGTTTATTGCCTAGAAATAAGCAAGAAAAAAAATCTAAAACTTCAAGGTATTTTAAGTTTTATGAATATACTTGACTCAATTTTAATTATAGTAAGATTAAATAAAATCAAGAAATACAGAAGGACGTATTAACCTATGACTGAATTAAAGAAAAATAATAGAAAAAATTTAAAATGTCAACTAAACTATTGCCAAACATTTCTCTTATTCTTTGGCAGGACTGCCGTTTGAACTCAGGACTGTGTTTGCTAGACGGAATGTCTACAACTTGAACCACGTCCACAGCCCTTTTGGCTTTTGGTTATTTTGTTTTGAGATAGCGTCTCACATTTATGCTGGGGCAGGCCTAGCCCAGTCCCCCTATTTATACTCTACAGGAGAAAACCCCCATGCCCAGATTTAATCGGTTGAGATGGTTTCTCACAGACTTTTTGTCAAGGTGGCTAAGAACCTAGACCCTCCCAATCTCCAACACTTTGTAGCTAGGATTATAGCCCTGAGTCACCACACCCAGCTATTTCGAAGTATTTCTTGAATGACTCTCCACTCAAGCATCCGCTACAGCATTTTTTAAATTACATTGTGATTTATAAGAGTATATTGAAGAGAAAAAAGATGCCATAAGTGAAATAATATCAAGAAAGCATAGTATAAATTTTTATATTTAAACTAAAAATTTTTATGTAAAGATTAGTATGTTAATACAGGTCCAGGTATAAAAGTGGTAGAAATATAAAAATAGAGGTAATGGTCTTTTAAAACAAAAGTTTCAAGGTCCAAAATGCCAGTTGCTACTGTGACTTCAATCACTCCATTTTTATAAGCCAAAATAATATATTTCTTAGGACAAATGTCCATATCTTTACATACATGTATAAGAAACTAAAACTTTTACATAAAATTCTCAATAAAATGTATTTTTCTTTGCATTCAAAGATTGTTGCACCTTTGAGTTAAAGATCAGCAGTTAATTCATATTTTTCTTTTTTTCTGGCAGTACTGGGGTTTGAACTCAGGGCTTCAAAATTGCTAGACAGGAGCTCTACCCCATGAGCTACTCCACTAGTCTTTTTCTGTGTTGGATATTTTTGAGTTAGGGTCTTGCTTTTTGCCTGAGCTGGCTTCAAACTGCCTTCCTCCTGATCTGTGCCTCCTGAGTAGCTAGGATTATAGGTATGAGCCATTGGTACCAAACATTGATAAACTTTTGCAAATGAAGGTATGCCCTTTACAAGAAGAGATTCATTTTTCTTTGACACCTAATTCATTTTTAATGTCTAACTCCTTATTCTCTAAAATATACTTCTAGTTTTCCTTCTATTTTCAGTGATACATTTAAAATCACAGTACTCTTGTTTTGATAAATGTTCCATAAGTAGTTGCAAAGGAAACAAAATTGGGCAACCACCCAACTCTCTGCATAAGTGCTCATTATTTTATTTCTACTGAGAAAAATTCATTTTAATGCACTTAAAAAATTGCTACAACTAAAAGGCCAGGTGTGGTGCTCACACCTGTATCCCAGCTACTCAGGAGGCAGAGATGAGGAGGATGTATGTTTGTAGCCAGACCAGGCAAACAGCTAGCAAGAACCCATCTCATTCACTAGGCTGGATGGTGGCACATTCCTGTGGTCTCTTGACAAAACCTTAGTAGCCATTTGGTTTCATGCATGTCATTCATTGATATTTGCTTTGATAATCTGCATTTCTACAAAAAGGGAAGTATCAACAGTATCCGTCATTAGGAGATCTTTGAAAAATGTTCCTAGAGATTAAAAATGCTATTTCCTTTCCCTGTATATGAAAAATTATTAAAATATATTTTATTGACTGAAAGAGTGAATACAGGTGAGAGAAATGGAAAGAAAGAAAAAGAGCCAGGTCTCTCTTCTCTTTTCCAAGGTCTCCTGTCTCTGTGAGATGAAGAAGGTGAGGAGTTAAGTCATCCAAAGTAGGCACAAGAGAGGACAATTAATGACTTGGGTGGCAAGCTGCATCCTTCCTAAGGGAAGAAAGTCTTCCATTCTTAAACCGACTATCAATTTGTCTACACAACAAACAAGTGGAAATATTCCCCATGTTGTTCTAAGTGCTACTTAAAGAGCACTTAATTTAAAAAAAAAAAAAAGAACAACTTAATTTGCAGGAGTATTGGGTGGACTGAGACACTCTATAAATAACTAAAACAGACTTCCTAGGAGAACACAAAACCAAGCTAGCAAGTGACTGTAATAAAGGACTCAGTGAAGAAGCTTATCAAATACCACTTTGATTTTGCCTGTTTGGATGTCATAGCATAAAAGTTCACCATGTCACATAACAATCATGTTTATGCAAATGAATTTTTTAGCCAATGAGACCAAAAGGACTTTGAAATGCTCTGATTAAAAACAGCAAAGCACAAACAGCTAATTGGAAGACTTCTTAATCATGTCTTTCCTATCAAGGTGGTCAAGATAGGCTAACTGCTTTTCTGTTTTTCTTTTTACTAAATTCATTGTTTTTCTTCAATATTCCAATAGATTTAAATGTCCTGAAAGTCTGGAGAGATTATTGAGCCAGTTATAGTTAAAAAGAGAAGAGGCATGGGAAATAAACAAACACAATTCTTTATCTTGTATATTTTGAATGCATCTGTAGATCAGTACTTGTGACTTAAATGGTTTGAAAAGATATCTCTTGAAAATCCAATAGAACAATCATAGAGGGAGCAACACAAGCAGTAGTGGCAAAGTAGATAATTTATCTCTTAGAGAAAAGAATTTAACTTATATCATGCTGAGCCTACCAGGAAAAGGACTATTTTGAATTATATTTTTAGGGTAGACGGTTTCATTAAGAAGAAAGTTGGAAGCAGTGAAGTCATTTAAATAATCTGAATTAAACATTTCCATAACATTTTCCACTAAAAAAAAAATCCAGTTGTGACAATTTTACCATTTCAAACAATGAACCGGCTATTGAAATCCTGTTAGAATCTTTAAAAGGAAGAATTGAGTTATTCCACAATATAATTTGCATAGAAATATAACAGTAACATTGATGTTCATAAAAGTATCAAATGATGTCAAAATACAATGCAGTTTCTTGATGGCTTCCCTTCTTTAATAGAACACATTGGATTCACAATTATTATTTATAACATGCAGCTTCCTCTGTGAAGATAGCACTCAAGCCAGCTAAGAGCATTTCCTTCAGCCATGTATGCTGCAGCTCTTTAAACAACAAATGAGTCCACTGAGGAAAAGATTTAAATAATTATAAACAAAGCTGGTGCAGGCAGAATGCTTTAAAGAGCTAAAACTGAGTCATTAAGCTTCTTTATCTGTTGCTCTCATGATGAAAAGCAATGTATAAGACCATGCAGAGCACACAGTGCAGTCCCATTTCAACACACATTTGCATATATTCACAAGTTGAGTGTGTCAGTGCTCCCCAGCATTTGCCTCTGGTTTTTCCCCAGCTCTTAGGTCCCATTTCACTAGCAGTTATCAATATTTATCTAATGGCACAGCAGGGGCTTTGGTATTTGTTCTTGTTTTTAAACATTTTAAAAGTTAAGAGTTATTTCTCATACCACAACTTTTGTGGCAGGAATGATCTTTGCATTAGAAAGTTACAAAGGAAATAAGAAAACTGGAAAATTGCTATTTATAATAGCTTCAATTTAAAAAATATCTGGTCCTTTTAAAAAATATTGTTAGGGGCATATGTTGGGATTATCCCTGTTTATTCATTCCTCTCAAGATTGTGAAAAGAAAATACTTAACACACAGCTAAAATTGTCCCATGTTATCAAGTCTATAGTTGTTTACCTGTCCTGGTCTGGCATTTTCACATACAAAGGTGTCGTAGAACACAGCAAATTGTGGGGCGTTGTCATTAACATCCAAAATTCTCACAAAAACAGCCACACGAGTTGTCTCTTTGGGATTATCTAAAAAGTGGGAAGGAAATTTTTGTTAAGGAAGACATATTTCTGTACCAGATTTAATTTATATAGGCATCTTGTGGTATATTAACTGCTTCACATACAAATACATATATTGCTTTCATTCTCCTAACATAATGAGCAAATGCAATAAAGAAAATTACTGCAGAGTCTAATTAAGTAAACACAAAGTCAGTTATTATTGGGCACAAGAGTACTAGTATTATTTTGGAAAATCTTTTAAAAAATTTAACCCAATGTAATTGAGTTCATATTATATTGTGTCCCTACTCTCCAAATATATAAGATGGGAACAAATCACATTAAATCCCTGACATATATCACCATATTATTTTTTGAAACTATCTTTAGAGGAAACAGTTTAAAATAAATTAGGAATTTATCAAAGGTCGCTAGCTCATAAGTGGTAATAGTTGTACACTTCTTTGATTGTTTTCATCACTAAATTATATTTTAACAGCTATTTTCAAATCTCCTTTTGGAAACTGTACTAGCAAATTTAAAAACTGACTGGAAAATATACAATGAATTATAGATTCAAGTATTTTTTTAATATATTTATTACTGGTACCATTTCAACAGTCCAGGTTTGGTTTTGCATAATAATTTGTTTCCAGGTTAGCTCAAACAAATTTTGTTGTGTTTTCTTTTTGCTAAAATCATGTGCATCACAGTTTTCACATAAACATGCACTTTATAAATTGTTTTGATTTATGAATGAAAATTAAAAATACAGATGCCTTTTTATTTAAATTAGCACTGGGCAACACCTTGCATTTGTCATAATTGCACCATCTCTATTATTGGTTCTCCAAACAGTTGCACTGATATTGGAGAGCGTTTTGACACCTTAAGTTCAAGATAAGTTAGTTCCGACTTCAGAATATTAATAACTTCACTCTGGATATACTTCAGTGATGAGACCTCTGCCAAAGTCAAGCTGAAGAGTCACATGAAAGAAGACAGGAATGCAGAGGGGTATTATAGATAACAATGATGTACTGCGCATTCCAAAAAAAGAAGAAAGCAGCTATGAAAAGTTTCACCATGACGATATGATAAGTAGCTATGAAAAGTTTCACCATGACGATATGATAAGTATCTGGGGATATACACATGTTTGACTTGAATTATTCCATGAACACATGTTCAAAACATCACATGCTACCCCATTAGGACTTGCAATTTTTATGTTTAGCTAACAATAAGACAAATAGACTTAGCGATCATCCTGAATGGTCTAAACCGATATGAATGTGGATATCATTCATTCTTGGGAAATTTATCTTTTAAAGTTTTTTCTAAATATTTTCCAAATGCAAAGGTAAAAATACTGCCACATGCAAATAGGATGTATATGGCTGACAAAAGAATTTTTCTTCCCACCATGTAATTGCATTGTTACTAAATTAAGGAAATCAGTAGGCTTTAAAACAATGTATAAGAACTCATTTCTCAGCAGCCACATTTACAAGGTTGAAGTACAAAGGAAGGCAAACAAAATTCTCAAGTTATTTGAAATATTTTTACCTCTCCTTCAGATTTTCAAGAGGAAATTTTAAAATGCACCTGTCTTCAACACACCTTTTATGTCTTACTTTTGTCTTCCTAACACACATGTATTTTGTTCACAGGTTCTAATTTTGTTTTTGTCAATATGGTGCTGCATATTATCTATCTTGTTACTGGTGGTTAAGAAGTGTTCAAAGAAAAACTGCTTTGATTCCAAAGTCTACCAGTTACTGTGACTTGGCCACTCTATTCCACTTCTCCAATGACTCAGTTTATTCAAAATGTATAAAAGAAAAACTTCCAGCTTCATAAAGTTATTCTGAAAATTAGGTAGGATGAGGCACGAGAAGTTCTTATCAAAGTGTCAATTGGTGATTATTGTTCCATATGTGTTAAATGTGACCATTAACATCATCTTTAATATTGTTATCATGTCCTCTTCACTTTCTTATTAGTTCTTAAGAGCTTATGCTATCTTTTTCCACATAAAGAAAAGTAGTAACCAGTTTTCTCACAATTCACATGGGTCTGAAGATGGGGGCACAAAGAGAGAAAGAGAGAGGAGAAAAAAAAGAGAGAGAGAAATGCTATTCCATTATTTTCCTACCTCCCTTATTCCTAGATCATTTGCTAATACTGGGAGTCATCATATTCAGCTATAAATGGCTTCTTGAGAACCTCATTGCTTGTTATGGAGAAGAGAGGAAAGGTGTGTCTCTTCATATGTTCCAGAATGCGATATTTATCCTAGTGATGTAGTGTGTGAACATAGGCAAAATATTTATTTTCAAAACTAAGTCTGAAATAAAAACCAACTCTTGTTTGAAGCCATTCGCTTTCTCACTATGCCACAGAATTCCAAAGGAAAAGTTTCATATCTTAAAAAACTGAGTTCTCAACCTCTTCCCTAATACTATATATGAAGGCTCTCCAGCCTCTTTCCAAATAACTCTAAGGCTTTCAAATCAAAAGCTAAATCCACAGGGATGAATGTGCTTTGTAAAGCATCAGGCTAGTGTAAGCATTAGTGCTTACACTAATCTTTTCTGCTGGCAGATGCTGCAGCTTAAGTATAAATAAAAATATAAAGCATTCCAAGGAAGAATCACGCTGAATAGCAGCTGGCTTATATTTACCACCTGAGTCTCCCTCAGAGTCCTTCAGGGAAACTGTACTGTAGCAAGAATGTATCTGCAATAAAGGATCTTAACCTGTATGTCCTCAGGTGAGGCCATACCTCTTGCCTCCACAGGCTCTTTTCTATACCTTTAAAAAGAGGAAAGATTAAATGATTCTCTTGAAACTACAGGCTTTCAAAAGACTTAACTTTTTTATAGGCTTAGGGCAAGAATTTTCACTAATATAGAACTTGCTATAGATAATGTGTTCCTTCATCCATTGCTTTACTGTACTCAGAATGTATTGCAATGGTTATGAATTCTCAGATTTAAAAGAACTCTTTGTTTTCTACCACAAATGTGTGCTAAAAGCCAACACTTATTAGTAAGTCACTGGTTGTAACCTTAATTTTAGATTTTTTTATTCTCCGCATGGCATTTTAAAATATGTTTAAAGAAGGGGAGGATTGTGCCATGGTATAATGCACTAAATAATCACCTGCAGTAGACAGTGCTTGCCACACGATGAGACATACTGCTGTGATATGTAGAATGAAACTGTTGCAGGCAGGGCCGGGAAACACATTGGTAAGGAGTACATTTATTCATTATTCTGTCCTGCTCCGGGCTTGGTGTGTGACAGACACACTTTCCTTAAACCCAGTGTTTAAAGTCTAGTAAAAGCAACGCACTGTGTTCTGCTTCCTTTTCACTCTTTTTGCATTTAATACCCAGAACAGCATAATAGGACCCTGACTGCTTGTGGTTTGGCAGGTAGGCATTTCTGGTAGTTGCTGCAAGGACTGATGTCATTCAAGGGCAAAAATAGGTTTAGTTCTTAAGAAGTAATTGGCTTAGCTTTTTACAGAATCATAATTACTTCAACTAGCTTTAGCAGTTAAATTTCTCAAAGTCTCTGAAATAGAAAATACGATTCCAAGTTCACTGGACTCAAATAAGAAACTTGAATTGAGCAGATTACACAAAAATTTCTGACTCTGGAATGTACAGATTGGATCGCATTGGATATAGAGACAGATAAATAATGGTTTTCCTTTTTTGGGAAAACTTTAAAAATTCACTAGTTAGCTTTAAAAGGCACCGGCATTGTATCTCTGTAAGGGAAAACTGGATCTTTTTGTGTTAATCTGTACTTTCAACACCAACTGGAATGAAATAGCTAAATCTACCTTTTGAGTTTGAAGGTTTGAATGGATTGATAATGATTGGCCTCCACTGTTTCCATGTTTCTGAGACACTTGGAGGTTAAGACCTGGTCTAAATCTGGAATGGATACTTCAAATACCATAACCTTGAAACCTGTTTGGGGATTAGTTTAGTATTTCAGTTACAGAATTTACGGGCTTGGTTTTTCACCAGGTGTCAGTCCCAAATGGATGCTTCTTTTCTCTACTCCATGGATCCTTCAGTACAGGATCAGAAACTATGAACAAATTTAATGACTATAGGCATGTGCTCTGACCTATTGCCCAGGGCCTCACATCTTACAGGACCCTAAATTTCATCTAAGATTCTGCTGATGCCATCATAAATTTTGTAATGATTTTGTTTGTTTGTTTATGAGATTTTTGTTATTAGTGTTGTCATTTGTTTTCTTTTCTTAATGTAAAAAATATTATTTTACACAGGTCTCTCTATGCAGTTCAGCCTGGCCTTAAACTTGTAATTCTCTTGACTCAGCCTCCCAAACATAGGAATTACAATCATGTATAACCATACACAGTTTATTAATAATCTTTTTAAGAATGCACTTCATATATCACTTTGACAATGGGCTCCACAAATCATGCAGCCATCCCATGCATGGACAATATTTTTGAAATAAAAAAAAAAAAAAGATGTAGTTCAAGTCAGATGTCTTGAAAAGCCAGATTCAGTCTGCCGGCTTTCCCAAGATGGCATCTTGCCATAGCTCTCTGAGGTATGAGAAATGTGGAGTTGTCCTGTTTGCTGTTGGCCTCCTGCACAAGGGAAAATTACTGTCTCTTGATAGCCCTTCTCTTGGTTAGGATTTGTAGGTGGCATAAACATCATAGAGCTAGTTTTGCTAGCCTGTTGTGGCTGTCTCTTGCTTTAATTTCAGGTAGTCTTTCCCTTCCCCAGGGGGAGCAGAGATGGTGGGCACTGCAAACTGAATTCTTCAAAACAAACCAGTTAACCTTCCTGGCAGAGAGCTCAGACATCTGAAGCAGTTTGCAGACAGACCAGTTTGGAGACTGAGCAGTTGGGAAGATATGCAAAATCACAGAGCATAGATTTCTGGGTCTCCCAGCCCCATTGTCCAGAACATGCTAGTCAGGAAACACCCAGAGGTCAGCACCATGGTCCAACTTT